TTCATATGCCGCAGAGGATGGCGACATCAACCTCCTTTCCTAGGACAGCCTTCAACGGTTTTGTTGATGCCAAGCTTGGAGGAGCCTGCTTCAATATGTTTGAGGTCTGGTGAGCGCTGTCCTCCTGGCCAACGTCCGCCACCAGCCTTCAAGATGGACACCTACAAAAGAGGAACCCCGCCGGTGGTGGTCGGCAGGGACCTGCTCCGAAGCTCAAGTCAGTATTTGAGAGGAGAGTAACCGGGAGCAGCGTATTGAGCCGGCTCTAGAGAGAGATTTAGAAGTTCAACTCCAAAATCCACTGTCAAAAATGCTGAAATGGACGACCTATTTATAGGTGCTTCCTGCTCCTGGCATGGGTGGGGTACAAAAATAATATAAAAAATACTTTCATATACCAACTAACACGTTGAGTGCAATGTTGCGTTGAGAAAATGAAATCATCTCAACTAATCGGATGAGGTGCAATGGCTGGTTGGTTTGAGAACAACAAAATAAGAGTGAGGCCATCACCTTCCTCACAAACTTATTATTCTAACCAATTAAATACAAGCCAAACCACTTACCTCTCTCTTCTCACTTACACGTGTAGCCATATGTAGAAATGGATTAGTTGTTGTGGCACATAGAAAGGAATCAAATTCTGCCATCTCCTTACCCACGGGTATTGATATGGAGAAAACAGATTTTGGTGGCTTGGGTGAAATGAAAGGAAGCAACAATATCAACAAATTGAAAAGGGTTACATTGTTTGTCTATTACACGTGTGACTAAGTTGGAAAATGGGAATGGTTGCTTGACATAGTGATAATAAATTGACTCCAGCTCATGTACAAGTACTTAGATGAAGAATGTGATGGGATTTGTTTGTTTAGATGCTACCAAGCACTTAAATGCAAACTTACTTGATATTTCTTTTCTTTGGCCACGTATTGCATGTAAAAGCATGACTTGGATTGATGAATAATGCACACAATGATTCTTGGAGGGAATTAATCAATTTTTACCTCTTTAACTTCTTGCTACGTGTGAGGGAAAGTGCTTATGATGTAAAGATGAGTAGAGAGTAGGTGGATTCAACTTATACCTAGCCTCCCCACGTATAAGAAGAATATTAGAGGGTAAGTCAATTGAGTTCTTGGTGGGTAAATTACTACTAGTAATGATGGCGTATCATATTATGTCGGTTGAATACTGGATCCATCAGGTTTGATTGTTGATGGTCGTTTGGACTAGTTCTTTGACTTCATGTTAGTGTGGAGAGATGTTCTTGCCATTGCACTCTCGTCATTGTTGTGAAATTTTCATTGGTCTACTGGTTAACCATCTTAGTGGTGTCTTGATCTAAGCCTTTGGTGAAGTACTTTGCAATCTTCTCCAAGCATCATAGAATGTATCTTCTTCCTTCTGTTGTAATTGGTTAATTTCATCCTTAAACTCCTCTGTCTTCCGTTGTGAAAAGCACTCTTTAATATATGTTTGAGTAAGGGTCTCCATGTGGTTGGTGGATGGTAATCTAGCCATTGCTTCACCTTTCCCACAAATGAGAATAAGAAAAATCGTAGCCGAATTCTATTTTTGGTAGCTTCATCTCCTGGAATGGAATTGACGATCTCCAAGAATATCTTTAGATGCTGAATCGGATCAACATCATTCCTTCCTGCAAATCCGTCAGCTTGTTGCACCATTTGAATCAATAGAGTGAGGATCTCGATGGTGGTAGGTGGTGCGACAATGTTTGATGTGATATTTGATGCTCTTTGGCCTTGAATACTCATAAATAGTAGGTCGGATGACCACTCTTCTTTCTCCTTATTCTCCAGGCATTGATGATGGTGTAGAAGATGTTGAAGAGACTCATTCTTCTTCTTCTTCTTCTTCTTCAAAATTGAAGTGGCAGTCTTCGACAATGATCTCCTCCCCTTCCAAGCTTGGCTCGAAATTGGTATGAGTTGAAGGCTCCTCTTCTCCTGAGCTAGATACTCCTTCATTCGATCTTAATATGGGGAAACTCGATGCTCCTCCTTCTTGGACGATCTCTTTCACTATCTTCAGGTTTTTATTTTTCTTCTAGTACTCATTGGACACATACAACAATCTGCAAACAAATTAAACTTAAAACTAATAGAGAAGTGAGGAACATAGAAGTGAGCACATGATTAAGTGCGGGCCTCTTGAGCCACAATCGATGGTCTATAGAATTGATGATCTAACAATCAAGCATTGATACTAATCGATGCATAGATGGTTGATCATTCCCTATATACTCGTGTAGCATTACTGGGGTACAACTAGAGGATATTTTCTTAACAACCTAGATGATACTAAGCACCATGCATATAGTAGTATACTATAGAATCATATGCATCGATGATAGGAAAGCATCTATACTAGATAAACATAAATGATCATCACATACGCATCGAAACTAAAAGTATCCATACATACATGATAGGCCTCGAAATTCAATAGCATAAACACAAGCATCATATGAAATCATAACATGAATAGATACAAAGATAAACGAGTTCACATTCCTACACAATCTGTTTTGAACTAGCTATAAGTAGAAGAAAAGGAGGGTACCGCCATCGATTATGCAGGCATCTCCTTAGCTGCACTCACTCCTACGAAAATGGTAAGCTCTCACTCGAACAGAGTATCTACAGAAGTTTGAATGTAATTGTGCACCCTAGTGAACTAATTAGTCTAGTTGTCTATTTATAGAGGTAGAAATCGGCGAAAACCTTCCTAACCCTACTAGGACAAGGTCTCTCTGACTTGGGGCCGCAGCATGACCTAAAGATCTTTATTTCGGCTTGGCCTTGGAGTGGCGGCTGGAACCGCCACTTCTTTTCTTTGTGGGATGGACTCCTAGGCCCATAAGCAACCTCTCTTGAAGATTTCTCCATGTTTCGACCAGGTTTGCTTGGGTGGCGGACTAGCAGTTAGGCCCGACACTGGGCGACCACTTTTTCTTGCTCCGATCCGGGCCGAGTCTTCTTCCATTGGGCTCTACTCGTGGTTACTAGTAGGTTCTTTCATTATTGGACCTCGTCTTTAACATGAAAACTCCATATTCTTATCATTTTAGATCCTTTGGTTCTCTACAGTCACCCAATGCTTGATTCAAATTCTCCTCAACTGTGTTTACCTTGAAAAGCACAAAACATAGCAAGAAGACATAAAATAATACAAAAATACAACTTAAGTCTATCAAATGCCCATTGATCAAATAGTTACGATTTAGATGTAAAATATAAGAGAAAGTACTATAGATGCATTGATAGAAGGGAAAATTATATCCCATGTGGGAGTGATAAACACTATAAATTGAGTGTAATCAAAGTTCACGCCCAACAAAAATGTTGGTAGTGATAAGCTGGAGATAACGAAAGCTATTGCGAAAATCATATTGTCTTTCAAACCAAGTGCCCAACAAAATAACAGACCACTCATTACAACGCAACACAAAAGGAAGATGCTCTAGAAGAAAAAGAAGAGACCAGTAAATTTTATTGCCACGAAAAACTGAACTAAGTGCTCCAAACACCAACATGGAGATCGTGTGTGTTTAGGAATTAGTATTTGTTTTATTGTAGGATAGGTTTATATTTTGGTTAGAAAATGGAAGAAAGGGCCCTCGACCTAGTAGGAAATGCAGAGGGAATTGTCAAGATTTCCTGCCTATAAATATGTACTTGTTTTTCGTTTAATGGATAAGAATATTGGAACTCAAATATTTAGTTTTCGTTCTTTTATTCACTATTTTCTTTGTTATTTCCTTTGAGAATTATTGTTTTAGTCTTTTGTTTCGTAAGAATACCAAAAACGTCATCCCCCCACGTCACATCACCATAACAATTTAGGGTTTTTTATCCATGAATCAGGCTCTGGTACTATGTTAGTTAATTAGAATTCGATGAAAAATGTTGTCTTATTACTGAAACCATGTAGGACTTATATAAAGTACAATAACATACTTTATAATAACTCTAACACTAATAAAACTGTTTGACTTCTACGACTCTGATAAGGATTTTAACTCTACCAAATTACATAACATTACTCATATATAATATAATAGTACTCGTATTAAAGAGAAGGGTAATGTTTATTTTTTATCCAAACATTTTTCAGATTCTTTTATATTATCCAAACTTATCGAAATACTAAAAATTAACCAAATGTTAACTTTCAGTTAGCAATTTTTTTAGCAATATTGACTTGGCAACATGATACTGACTTGGAAGAGACTCATGAAGGTCAACATTCCAAAATTTTAGTATTTTAACTAAGAAAAGTGTTAAAATTTTATTAACGATAACGTAAAAATGACTAATATATTGATACATTATGAAAGATTTGGATAATTAATATAATTTTAATAGGTTTGGATAATATAAAAGAATCTGAAAAAGGTTTGGAAAAAAAAATAGACATTACCCTAAAGAGAAAGTTAAGACGTACTAGTGGAGAACATTAGGGTGGGTACGTGGGTGTTTAATTCGTGTGGTGATATCGATCAACCCGCAAATAACCCGAACCGCAAGCAGTGGATGATTGGTGTGGATGGATTACGGATTGATAAATATCCTACACATACTTATGTAGGTCACTCGAATGACCCGCACCCTATTTTCACATGAAAAAATGTAATTTCTTATACTTTAGAATATTCATCATATTTCCGAACCACACTACACACTGACCATCTACTTATAAAGGTGGAGAATAAATAATAGTTTTTTAATACTATTGTTGGTTATTGTGTTGTATAATATCCATTAGATATTAGATATCATGATGCAAATTATTGGTTAATATTAATTAGATACTAGGATGTAAACTATAAACTAGTAGTTGTATCAAAATCGCAAAATACCTACATTTTCTCTACACAACACAATTGGTTGATAGAGTAATGAAAATTTTGATACAAATACTACACGAATTCACATAAGACAAAATGAAAAGTGTCTAAATTGATACGCTCTTACTAATGTGCTATAAACTTATTATAAATGTTAGTCAACATTTTTTAATGATTAGTTGGAAAATTATTTTTGCGGGTTAACCATTACCCATCCACACCCATCCGCGTCAATTTGAGAACATCACGAGAACACCGCAGAAGACTCCATTAATCTAAATTCACTGACTTCGTCCGCCTTTTTTCCTTTTATATAATCTTTTGAATCTGCACAACGAATTCCTAAAGTGGATACAATGGACTAATAAATTTGGGAATGAATCCTTCCCCCCAAACTAAAATGACAGCAAATGACAGCACCGCCCTCCCTCTCGATCTTAAATATTGGCGCGTCCCAGAAACATGTACAAAAAACGCGCGCACCAACGACTCCGAAGTCCCAACTCAGCCAGCCCAGTGCCCACCATGAAAAAAACAAACCTCAAAAAGACCTTTCCCGAAAATCTCTTCACATGGCTGCTGCCATAAGAAAAAACCCTCCTGTTTTGTGCCTTTCTGCCCCCCGTCAGCAACATTTGACTGTGTAGATTGTTCTGGCACTACAAATCCACATGGATTCCTTCCCCGGCAATCAAAATCGAGGGCGGTGTGGGGAATGGATCTTTTCTTCTTAAATATGACGCCGAAAAGGTTTCAGCGGAACTTGTGGAGGTTCTTAAATTCTCGACGTAGATACTACATAGTTTGTTCTCGTCGCGCCACGCAGTTGGCTTGGCGTGGCTATCTTTCCTTGTGGAGGATGGTGGTGTGATGCTCTCCAGCTGCTGCGGAAGAACGGGCCGCCTGGAGCTGCATGGTGTACTGCCTCTGAAGGTCCCTCAGCTTTTCCAGGAGTTCTTGGAACGACGGGCGGCTGGCTGGATCACTGCAATATTAGGGTTTACCAAACCCAAAATAACAGGGCATAACACGTTAGACAGTTCCATAACTACAACAGAAATCCTAAGATAAAAAAAAAAAAAAAAAAAACTGAAACATAAATCGTATGACAAAAGAATATTGATCAGATCGAATCGTTAGACTGATCCAAGTATTAGGGGTGTCCATTCGGGTTCAGTTTTTCGGGTTTACCCGAAATTGACTCGATTAGATACATTTTTGGTTTTTTGGGTTCGGTTTGTTTCGGGTTTTTCCGTTTTGCTTATCGGGTTTTCGGGTTCCGTCTGAAAACCTCCAAGGAATAGAACTCAGCCCATATTCTTATGCATTCGGGTTTTTGGCTTTCGGCTTTGCTTTAACCGAACCCGATAAGGAATTTTTGGGTTTTTCGGGTAACCGGAAACCGAAAGTCCTTATCGTTTTCGGGTTTTCGAGTAACCGAAAACCGAAAGTCCTTATCGGTTTCGGGTTTTCGGGTTTCGGTTCGGGTAACCGAACCCGACCTGAACTGACACCCCTACCAAGTATGCTTTGTTTCAAATTCGGCTCGGTTATTGTCCTCACGGTTCCTTGATTCTATATGGTGCAGCATGGGTGGAACCAAATCCCAATAGTAAAATCTTAGAATTGAGAACCGGAACTAGGTAGAATTAATACATGGATATCATCCTATCCAATTCAGATATCAATTCAACCCAATTCAGTTCAGTGCAGATGGAATCCTATTCAGTTCACTACAAACTGCAAAGCCAATGCCAGCACCTAAAGGGAACATGTTAAGAGATCCAGTTCAGACCACCCGGTTTTTGTTTTCTGATAGGTATTGCATGTTGACGCTATTGCAGGATTATTTCACATAATGATAGAAAAGAAATGTCTTATACCTAGGATCTAGCTAACATCAGCAAGAGTACATTCAATCAGTGGCGGATTCAGGAATTTTAAATAGGAGTGTCCTCTTAAAAAAATTATAAATTATAAATTAAATCAAATAATTATTAAATATGAAAATATTCAACTAGTAAAAGTTAGAATAAAATTTCAAACTTGTTCCGTATTATGAAAGAATGGTAAAATACATTCGGTGTATACATTGCTCAACACATCTCTCGTGACATATCCTACTAGATAAGGGTAACCCGTAATTGGGTTTAATCGTTAGGTTTTGAAAATAATTGGGAATAAGAATAGTTCTTTACTATTATATTTTGATCTAAAACATAACTACAAATGAGTTGTAGTCTAATTGAAACTATATTTACTAATAGTAGCAGTGTTCCCAAGTTCAAATCACATAGACCCTATCATTTAAATATTATTTGTACTCATATGCAGAATACTATAGGAGGTTGGATAATCATTTTCCATATTTTAAGGGTGTCCCACTATCACTAATTTTTTTTACCCGTACACAAACTACTACCGATAATTGGATAATCGTTTTTCCAAATTTTAGGGGTGTCCCGGGACACCCCTAAACCTCCATGTATCCGCCCCTGCATTCAATGGACCAAAACTCTGGGAAGGAAAGAATGAGGCTGAAAATGGTGACGTACCTGAGCCAGCAGCTCTCAATTATAGAGGCCCAACGGGGATCTAGGTCTTTTGGTATTTCTAACCGTTGGTTCATGAATCCCACGGCACCAATTACCTGAAATTATACTAAATCAATGATTCTGCTCATATATGTCATGCTGAATCTTGTCAGATAGCTGGATGGAGGAAATATGCATCTTATAGTACCTGCATTGAGTTGAGATTATCCCAAGGAATCTTCTCGGTCGCAAGTTCCCACAGTACCACTCCGAAGCTGTATATGTCAGACCTGCATGGAAGAGGAATTGAAGTAATCAAGCAGGATGACTAGCCAGAACTTTCGAAGAAGAAATGCATAGCAAGAAAACAAGAGTAGGGCCAATTACTTCTCATCGGAGGGTTCGTTGCGGAGAACTTCTGGCGCCATCCATTGAGGCTGCACAGGCAATAGGAAAATAGTCCATTAGTTTTTGAATGCAATATTATTAGTGTTCCCATTTTTTTAGAGTTCTCAAGATATTGAGTTCAGAACAATTCCCGCAACAATCAAAATAAAATGTAATTTGAATGAGAGAAAATACAAACAACTGGTCCTTCTTGAAAAAAATAAAAAAGCAACAGAGTTGCAGAAAAGCGAAGGCAATGAGCAAGATAAAGATAACCAATAATTTGTTATGGGATTCATGAAATTCATTTCCACCTAACTAATCCCTGTCTGAAGAATATAACCATACCTAATTCTTTCAATAGGAACAGGAAACCCAAGGGTTGAATGAAATTCCATTTCTTTCATTCAAAAACATCAGATCTTTTCTTTTCTGGATGAATCAAATCTCAACAATTCTAGAAATCACAAGTCACAACTAGAAAAAGCATTCAGACATGACATTGCATTTTCATTTCCATTCTACAGACACAAGATTAAATGCTTACTGTGCCTTTCCCGGACTTGGTTGTCAGAAATGTGTCATGCTTTAGACGAGATAGCCCAAAATCACCAACCTGGTCAGATAGTCATCAGATTATTTGCTTTTGGTTTTTCAGTATCAGGGTTCACAACTAACAAGCAAAACCCAAATTAATCAATGGTAGACTTTACCTTTACCGTCCAATTCTTATCAACTAGAAGATTAGAAGACTTCAAGTCACGATGAACTATAGGTGGGTTGAAATGATGAAGATAATTCATACCCCTTGCCTGTTGCAACAGATGATACCACATTAGGATTGTGTATGAGCAAACGGTTCATCTACCGAGAGATGAATAATAAGAAACATAAACTTTTCAGGAGAAATGTAAGCATTGAAAGAAACAAGCAAAGACGACTGCTTACAATATCCAAAGCCATGTGTACTCTCCGTCTCCACTCTAGTTTAGCCGTGTTCCTTTGGATCAAACGGAACAAACTTCCACTGCATAAAAGGCAAAATTGGAAAGTGTGTCTCAGCCTAGTGAGCAGATCCCTTTAAGGTAGTACTAGCTAGATACCATAATTGATTTGCAGTGGCAAACTCAAAGAATCAGGACATGGATTGGACAAAGAACCATAGAGCTAGAAACTTGAGATTTGTAGCTTTCAGGAAGTACCGAGGAAGGAACTCTGTAACGATACAGAGACGCTGAGGTGAGGTCACGGCGCCCATAAAGAGCAGCACATTGGGATGGCGAAGTCTTTTCATAAGGGATACCTTCATCGAAGAATAATTATCGGAGGCTCAAACAAAAGGGATAAGAGGGATATGTCAATTATACATGATAGTACATAAGAAAGAATAAGCACACCTCTTGCCTAAATGAAAGTATCACATCATCTGAATACTCTTGCTTGGAGAATACCTTGACTGCAACGTCCTGAAAACAAAAGTGGCATATTCTTCAAGTTTCAACCACCAAAATAGTAATCATGTATATTTAGTATATTTGACAAAATGGCTTGACAAAGAAACTAGCCAGCACGCTATTGTGCAGTTCTACTATTGATCCACACATAGAAAAGGTAAATCTAATGTCGGGTATGAACAATGTCAGTCTAAATTGGCAAGACAAAGGAAAGTTCATATTCGAGACATCTATGTCGAACTTCAAGATGCTAGTATCCTGGATTCAGTTGTCAGACATGGAATTAGAATAAGATATAAGGATGAGGGAAAGAACATACTGATCCATACCACAGGGCATGATAGACAGTCCCACAAGATCCTGCACCATCAAAAGAGTCGGAAGAATGTCTCAACATGACCAATTTAACAAAGAAATCTTTAAACCCAGTCCTACTTCTAGAAAAATAGCATAAGAATAGGTTTACTAAGATGGAAACCTTGTCCAATTTGTTCCCCGATGGTCAAATCTTCCCACAGTATTTCAGAATCTAAGCAGTCACTTTCCATATCTAACCTATTAACAGTACTGCTTGTGCTACCACAACTGCTGACACTGCCCGTGCTGTTAACATTTGCAGAGGATGACCATGACCCAGATGCCTCACTAATGCCATGGCGATTAGTACCTTCATTAAAGTAACTCTCGGTTTTGGTACCACCATAAGAGGGACTCTTTTCACCCTCCTGATCATTCTGCAACCAAGGCCAAACAAATTTGGTGGGTCTTGACTCTGAAACTTCCCTTTCGTTCCCTTTCCATGGCCACGATATTCCTTTTTTACCCATCCAAGCTTCTGCCTTCGAAGTGATAATCTTGTGGATTGGAGGTTTCCCATCACTCTCGTCACCATAATGTGAAACAACAAAAGGAGATGGATGAAAATCTCCCCTCGGTGTACTGGCTATGGGGGTACTAGCACCACTAGAGTTTTCATCATCCCTATGGTCTGCTACTACTTCCTGGAAGCCATGACCATGATCAAAATGATGGCTATCTCCACTAACACCTTCACGATGATCAACATTGTTCTCTCCAGTTCGAATCTTCGACTTCACCTTGTTGCTCACTTTGGTAGCCTGATTTGAGGCCAAGAACATCAATACATGCAAAGTGCATATAGCCAAATGTGGAAAGCATAAAACTATTAACGGAACTAACCAAGTTTGATATCTTAGACGCAATTGCTGCTTGCAGAGGCTGCTGGGAATCGAGCCCAAGCTTAGCAGAGACACTGGTGCTGCTTCTAACACAAGCACGGGTAGAACTTGAGTCTGCTTCTGAACTCTTCGGACCAGATAAATCGACGATCACTTCTTGGAATGGCCGTGAATCGTTTGATACACATATAATTCCAATCAAATCGCCGTTGTCGTCGTAGAAAGGGGTATTGGTGGCCACAATTGTAAACCTATCACCCATCTTGTTTTTCACAGGGAACTGTCCAGTCCAGCTCTCTCCCACACCGTTGCGATCCATAATGGTCTGCGCAAGCATGGCGTCTCTAGGATCTACAAGCAGGTCAATGTTGTACTGACCTAGAGCTTCTGCCGCAGTCCAGCCAAACAGTTTCTCAGCCCTTCGATTCCTGCAAAAAAAAAATTATTGGCATGCGCCAAAATTCAACATAGAGAATGCAGCAGAAATAAGCAGAAAAGCTAGTGATTCCGATAAATTCAACCCCCATCGCCAGAAATGAAATCGAATCGCCATTGACGATAACGAGCTTCACGTCAAACAGAGATTAGAAACGGAACTTAAACTATGAACTGCTATCAATAGTCAGTTTACCAGTAGATAAGACGGCCGTCAGGTTCGAAAATATGAATGGACTGCCCCATGGACTGCAATATGTTCAAGTACTGCTTATCAGTAAACTTAATAGCCGACGGACCGGCACTCTCTCCACCGCCGCCGACATCTTGGCCAACATTAATCCTATTGGGACCGCTTTTCGGACGGCGAGACTCTCTCTGCAAGGGAGACGAATGCCTAAACGGCGGCGAGGTCATCTTCATAGACGCAGCCCTGTCGAAGCTCCTTCTAGTCCCAGGACGCTGAGGCGAGATTGACTGGGAGCGAGGATGGTGGTGAAGATGGTGGTGGTGATGGTGCTGCTGCTGTTGCTGGTGAAGGATAAGATTCTCAGATTTTGGATCGGAAGAGAGCTTAAGCTTCGTCATCTCCTGTTGGAGCTCAGCTTGACCGGCTTCCAGCTCCTGAATCTTCCGGAGAAGCTCTTCCGTCGGCGGCGTAGGCGTATCCATGAGGAAGGGAAGGGCGAGACGGAGCTGGGGATTTCGCCGCGGGCTGAGATCGCAGTAGCTACGAACGGAGCAGCGGTGTTGAGGGAAACCAGCTAGAGAGTGAAAATGAAGGGAGGCGACGGTTCATTGAATCTGTCCAGCTTTTCGCTTCTTCTTTCTGCTCTGCGCTGTAAAACTGGCGAACAGCCGGTTTGTTTGGGAAGTGAGGAAGGAAGGAGAGAAACTATGGCGGAGAAACGGAAAAGAGAGAGGCGAATAGGGGAGATTGGAGAAGACCCCATCAATTTATCTTTCTGCTCTGCTCGCACCCTTTTTCCCGTCTGCGCTTAGTTATTCTTTTTCAAGTTGTTTTCTTTTTTCTCGCGAGGTTGTGGACAGTGGTGACTTGTGAGCGAGGTTTCAAACCGGTTTATTTCGTTCATGGGTAATTAGCATAAAAAGTCACAAAACTATTCACTTTGTACAAAACGGTCACAAACCTTTCATTTTGCACATTTTAGACACATACATTTGAGAGAATAATGAAATGATTATCCGTCTATCTCCATCCAAAAAACTGTTAGTTTCGTCCAGTCAGCAAGTCACATCACTTAAAATATTAATACAAAAATTGATAACCAAACTCAATTGAACCGGACAGCCCTAATTCTATACCCACCAACCCGAAAACCCTTAATCAATAATTAAAAAAGTAATGTCACCAGGAGAAGGGCTCGGCGGACTGAAGCTGGCTTAACCCCAATCCAAACCAACCCTCTGGCTTCTCTATCTCCGCAATTGAAGGCTTAACCTCCCCCCACCGCTCGTCGTCCCATCGACTGTGGATACCTCCGCCCTGGTCACAGCATCAGCGAGTGTGCCACAACTCAGAATCCGCTTCAGCCGGAGGGAGGTGCAGCTGAGGGTAGGCGAAGCTGAGGAGCCGGCGAATTAATCGATGTCGGTTTCTGGGGGTCTCAGAGGTGGCAAAGCCACTGCCGACTTCTTCCTCCTGCTCGAAAATGAATTTGGGAGAGTTCGATTTGTTTCTCTCGCCAGATGTTTTGTAATCGTCGGCGGTTTCTTTTTCTCAAAGGGTCGTCGGACGTGTCCCGCGTCGGTCCAGCCCTCGGCGCCGACTTCTCCACTGTTTCCTTCCAATCGAGAGTAAGATTGGATTTATAGATTAGAAAGGCAGTATGAAAGGGGAAGGTTGGACTAATGGGATGAATGGGGTTTCCTATTGTTTCGTTTAAGCCCCAAGAGAAAAAAGGAATAGAGAAATCAACGAGATGGCGGTGGGGGTTTAGCCTCAATGGCGGAGTCGGCGAAGAGACAAGAATTGGTTTGGCTGGGTTGGATTGTGGTGTTGGTTTGGTTAGGGATTTTGGTTTTATTTTTTTATCAATTCTTTGACTGATGAGATAGCTGACTAGGAACAAACTCACAGAATTTTTGACAGAGATTAACAGAAGTGACCATTTCGTACAAATTCAAACTTTTGTTACCATTTCGTTATAAATTAAAGGTTTGTGACCATTTTGTACAAAATAAACAGATTTGTGACCGTTTATGATAACTACCCTTTCGTTCATACAAATAGTTTATGTCGGGTAATGTTGATTTAAAAAATGTGTAAAAATGTAAAAAATTTATTAAGAATTAAATTTTAATGCAAATTTCCCTGCCCTCTTTCTCTTAGGGGTCGTTTGGAAGTTGCGAATGTTAAATCATTGCATTATAATGAATCACCATAATATAAATGCATGTCTTGATACAATGGATGCATTTTAACAATATCTTGTTTGGTTGTTGAGATTCTACAGTTCTACTTTATGCATTGATTTACATAAAGTTACTTTTATGGGAAAATGTCACATTTACTCTCAACTTTTAGAATAAGACAAAAACTATTGGGGATATAAATGAAAATAAAAAGTTACACAAATCTAAAACCAACAATCACAACTTTTAGTTGAGATTGTATAATGCATCAATTTTTTTTTCCATAAAAAAAATATAATGCATCATTTTTTGTGATTGTTGGTGGGACCTACCTAAAACAATGCATGCATTGTTTAACACTTTGACACTTCCAAACATTGTACTGTGCACAATATATGTATTCAACAAACACAACTCTAACAATCACAACTTCCAAACGACCCCTTACTTTAATTCGGAAGTGTTTTCTGCCCTCTCTCTACCTCAACTCCCTAGTTCAGCTTCCCAGGGGTTGTGGTCATAATTAGTAAATACTCTGTTTAATACACGTATATATACTCGTACGCATTTTATCCGTTTAAAACTTCTGTATCCGTATTATTGTCAAACCGTTTCATTTTTTCTCGTTCATTTGATGGCTCACGTAATAAACACGTATAAAACTCGTATGACACGTTTAATATCTGTATTTAATGAATTAAATTGTTAAATTTACTATTATTTATTTATTTATAAAAAAATTAATTTTATATATTTATGACTATTAACGTACTATTAAACATAATATGAGCTTAGAGACGACGTAAAATACTCGTATGTACTTTATACGTAACTTTCTTGTGTCGTATTTTAATAACTATGCCTTTTGGTGACCTACGGTAGCCCAATGGTCCATCCATTTCCCTTCTTCCTTTTTAAGCTCTCATGCCTATGTTTTTAGGCTTTTCTGTCGAATCTTCCAGTTTTTTCTGCATTTCTAGCCTATGTGGCCTTTCAATTATTTATGTTTTAGGGTTCTTATTTCTGGGTTTGCTCTCCTTGCGGTTGGATTATGCATCTTGGGCGTCTCTATCAGACTATGTGTGGTGGTTGTCCTTCAAGATGATAGATTTATCTTTCTTTTGGTGAATCCATTCACAGATTTCCCCCTCTGGCCTCTACTGGTGGTTTTGATCTGCCTCTTGGTCGTCATTGGTGGGTGGATGGCGGTGTCTGCTCCGATTGGCCATGGTGACAGTTCTTGGATTTTGGGGTATGGGTTCTCGCTCGCCTTCACCAAGATTTGGTTCGCTGGCTCCCTCTGCTTCTTCAGCTTAGAGCAATCCGATTCTCAACACTGACCCCCGCCATGTAATCCCACATCTGATATTCACTGTGATGAGCGTCTTCGGACGACCCTCAGGAGACGGCTTATGCATTGTTGTGTTCAATAGCCATGGTCTTAGTCGGATTGGACGAGTTGTCTACGCTAGGTGCTACTTTGTTTGGTTTGGTTGCAAGAGCTTTGTGTTTAGTGGTTGTGGATCAAGTGTTTCATATCCAATGTTGGGGTCGGTTCATTTGGTGTCTGTGCTTCCCTTGTATTATCTCTGAAACACTTATTGTTTCAACTTTTTCCTTGGAGATGTTTACTCCTGATTTGTTTCTGGTTTTCTTCTTTGATTCTCTTGTAATCGATCTTACAAAGTGCAGTGCAAGTGATCCCATTGTAAAAGAAAATGAATTTAATTTGAAGACAATTTACTTATAATCCATATTCATAGTTAAGTAAAATACGACATTCTAAATAAAATAACAAATACTCATATTTGTGTCCAATTAATCTGAAATATCATTGTGATAATGGATTGATTTCATTTGTTAGAAGGTGATAATCTGACCTCACTGTGTACTGGCCAGATTTATCATAGTGCTAGATAAGTTTATCCTTCCTTGGGATATGGACAAATTAGCTCAGCTGTAGCTGGGTAGAACAAGCAGTGGCGGAGCTGAGTATAACGTTGGGGGTGCTTTGCACCCCCCCTTGGGTGAGGGCAAGTGAATTTCTACAGCAGGTTGGGTAATTATATATAGAACTCTCAATCCGGTGAATTCGTAATACCCTGTCTTATCATTCTCATTAGATAAATTGTACGATTTCATTATGCATATACACTTCTATTTAAAAAAAGTATACATACATTAATGCAATATATCAAGAACGATCGTCAGAGCCGGATGAACGGCGAGTGGTTAACTGATGCATTAGTGACATAAAGTGAATAAGATTTGTCTGCTACTTTGGACAAGAAATGTATTTTACAATGTTATCAAAATATGAAATCTCGCCATGATACGTTGTAAACGGCGTGGATCAAATTATTATATTGTAATTATTTGAATCTTGAGATAATATTGTTAACTTTTTATTTTGTTTAGATTTGAATTTTTTGTTATGTAATTGGTTATTTATGATTTGAACAAAGACACCCCCTAAACAAAATTTTTGGCTCCGCCACTAAGAACAAGTATCGATAAGATAGGATACAACTGGTCCCTCTAAGTTCATTCTTGTCTTCAAGATTGGAAAGAAGGATGGATATGAAGGTATCCAAGGATCTTGTAGAGTGTAGATTGAGGCCCTTGATCCCACTTGCCAACACAATCCGTTTTTTAGGAGGGTCTTCCCTTCTAGAATGCCTTGCCAGGCCCAAGAAGGGCGACAACTGCTCTAGCATTTAGGAAATGGACACTAGGATGATAACGAGCTTTATAAAATTTTGCCAATGTATTCCCGAGTTATATTAGAAGTTTCCAGACTTGTTTAGCTAGCATAACTATGTTAAATTGGTCGAAGTCACTAAAGTCCAGTCCTCCTCGAATTTACTATTGCAAACTTCAAGCCAAAAAACTTTGGAAATTTTATTGGATCTACCAGTGTTGCCAAAATTGAATTTTTTTCTAGAGGGCACTTCGGGTTCCTTCATGTTCGAATAATACTGCCAATTCGAAAATTGACTTGCAGTGAATGTCATGTATGATGTGAGCCAACCGAGGACATTAATAATTGCTTCTTTGAGTGCAGGATTGCTATGGAGATATGGATTATGGCAGGATTGGAGCATCAAAGAAACTCAAGTTGTTCCCTCCAACAAGATCTTGCTTGGAAAAATCTATTCTTCTCACCTCAAATATCTAAGATCGAGATTGCCTATACGGTTTTTCTATTCTGTCGAATTCGAAGGAAGATGCAAAACTACCTATGCTTTGGTATTATTTCAAGCTCGAGTTTTGTTCGACAACTAACAATGCACGTAGAAGAATGGCGAAAGGCAGAGAGACAGAAAGCTCGGCAATTCACAGGTGTTCAGAGATCATCAGCGCACCCGAACAATTCACCAGGATCTCGAAAGAGTCATTCAGATGCGTCATGTCCCAATAATTGTATCTTGGTCATATTTGACGGAGCCATGAAGAAAAATCAAGGAGGCTCAATCGGATTTTTTGGGTTCACAAGTAATGTTACGAAGGAATATCGGAGGCTTACATTGCTGAACTTCTAGCTCTTAGAGACAGTCTCTCTCATTGGGAATCCACTTGCTTACTGATTACCGCAATTTTTTGGAATCATCCTTGTAACTGAGTCAAGTCTTAGTCTCATGCCCTTTGGGTTTGCCTTAAAAAAATTACTCATATTTAAATAAAATATATGTCAATACATGTTTATACTTGAATCCAACAAATAATATCAACATTTAACTTTCAAATTCATAAAAATATATAATAAATTAATGTTTATTAATTAAAATCACTAAAACGGTATTATTTTGCTTAGAGGTATTAAATCGATCATGTTGGTCATACTAATATTGTTCATGTAGGTTTCATGGTATTGCTTGAACCAATTTCAACCGACCGACATTCCACCGGCGTGACCACCATGCTTGTGAGGGTAATGTAACATTCTGAACATTTTTATCACAAAAAATATTGTCTGCATTGAGTTTAGACCTGCACAGTTTTTCTCTTGCGATGCATATCAAGGTGACTTCCTAGGAGGCCACCAATTATTAAAGTGCTCCACAAATAGCACGTTTAATTTCGAAGTTCTTACAATAACTTTTTCATTTCACCCCATAATGTGTATTGTCAATTAAAGTCGGTTTCTTACTTATTAATCATGGATCTCTCTTATATTTTGTCGATGCATGATTTGTTTAGAGTGTTACATGCACCCCTTTAGGGACCAGCTGGCATCCTGTTATCGTAGCCCATCGTCAATCGGTTGGTTGTCACCCGTTCGCATTGCACGTCACTCATTCACATTGCAATGTGCAATGCGAACTGGTGACGACCAACCGATTGACGATGGACTGTGATAACGGAATGGAGGTCGATGAAGGAAATGTGTGGGTATGGGTACTAAGAAATGGTTGACCGGAAGTGACCTGAT